ACCACACCACACATATTGATGATACTACACCACACTGCCTGCCGAGAATGTGGGTACTACGGCGTATGGGTGGTGATGGTGGTGTGTGGGTGGTGATGTAGATGTGTGGGTAGTGATGTAGGTGTGTGGGTAGTAACATTTTGACCACATATCCTTAATCAGCGTGTCGAGGGCTTCTACTGTGATTTCGAGCAAAATTAATTAAAGCTCTTTGGTCAAAATATGAAATTCTGAGTGTCCTCATATCAGTTAGCATCATTAATTATCAAAACTTCGTAATCTAGGGTGCTACTAGAGACAAACCTTACAAAATTCACTCGAAACTATCGCTTGCTTCCCAGCCACCGCCCGACAGTCTATGATGGGCGGAGAGGACCCACATTCATTTTACACGATGATTTGTTTTCATTTAAGGGAATTCACGGTGAGACTGGTGATTGGTTACAGGGAGCGTGGGACCTGTTGCCTCACTTTATAAAATTTCACCAGACTTTTTTTTTCTCACTAGATGAAATTTCCACAAATGTTAACATATTTATCACTGTTAACTTGGTATCTTAGGTTAAATGTTTCAGGTCAGTACGTTGTAATATGTTCCAGTCGGAGAGAAAAAAATAAAACCAGACTCTAAAAATCTTCCTGAATCCGGGTCCTAAGAGAGAGAGTGACCCTGTGTGGCTATGGGGGAGCCTAGTTCATACGAATCATCATCAACTTTAAATAACGTGACTCTTATTCTATACTGTAAGGTTAGGTTAGGTTAGATGATGACAAATACCTTCAACTATACAATCTAATATCCTTCTTTTCCCTCTCATATCTTTACTTAATTTCATTCACTATCCCTTTTCTTTACTCTCCCTTCGTTTCTTTCATCTGTGTCTAGTTCCTATCATCACCTATCACTTTTATCCAATTCGTTCAGCTCGATCAAATTTTTCCAACACCCTTTGATCAGATCTCAGTTTGCTATTCTATCTCTCTCTTTCTCTCTACGCCTCACATCCATCATATACAATAGCCACTTGACAGGGGCTATATTTTAGTGGGGTATATTGAGGCAATGACTGTGAATTACACTATCACGCTTTATACCTCCTTCAGCCTGTAATTTTTGCTATACTTGCTGTTTCTCTCTCTCTCTCTTTTTTTCTCTATATGGCACTTTCTCTTTTCCTCTTTTATTTATATACTGTATATTCTCTCTCTCTCTCTCTCTCTTCTCTCCTATCTCTCTCTTCTCTCCTCTCTCTCTGATATAATATACACACTTGGCGTCTATCAACCACACACGAAGTCACGTCGCACACATCCACCCCAGCACACAATCACCTCCCCCCCCCCTCACGTACACAAACACCACCGTCACACACGTACACACAGCTTTCTCTCTCACACACATACACATACAGCTTTCTCTCTCACACACATACACATACAGCTTTCTCACACACGTACACATACAGCTTTCTCACACACGTACACATACAGCTTTCTCACACACGTACACATACAGCTTTCTCACACACGTACACATACAGCTTTCTCACACACGTACACATACAGCTACCCCAAACTCAGGTGTAATTTCGTCACTTTTTTTTTAACTTTGTGTTTGTATCTAGATTCAGAGATCCATTTGTATTCTTGAGGTCCATGTTATGAGGAAGAGATAAAATAACAGAAGAGTCTCCGAGTTCTATGCGGGCTATAGGCAGCGAAACGGTCAAGTTAATAATTGATACAAAGGCCAGCTGTGTTAACTGACTTCCTGGCCACGCCGTAGGGTCTGTCTTACTGAATTACTGGTCCTCTGAGAACGGAATTTCAATGATTGGTATTTTAAGTATTCTTTAATTTAGGAAGACTGAATTCTACTTATAATAGTCTCAGCACAATGTCAAACCCACCGTGACCATAAGTTGGTTAAATGAGATTTCACGTCACCAGTTTTAAGGTGAATTTAACGAATGAATATCTCCGAATACGAACTTCTTGTAGAGCGAGATAGACCTCATCTTTCTTCTTAAGTGACTTTGTTTTTTTGTTTTTTAATGAGCATAAAGCACGGAAGTGTCATTTCTAAGGGGCTTTAACATCTTTAATATGCAAATGCTGCCCAGCTTAAAGGGGACAGATTCAGTTATGTTGAGTTTCATATATTTGTCGAAGATACAAGAGACGTTAAGGGTGTAAATAAACGGTAGAAAACATGCAGTGTTTGCGTCTACCAAGGTCCTGATTCACAAAGGTTCGTACGGTGGGTGAACATTCCTCGTGGTTGGAGAGACAAGAATGCACCTAATTGTTTAACTCGAGCTAAACTACAACAACAATATCTAAAAATATCCTTAAATTTACACTGACTGAGTCTCTTCCTTAAGCTGATCCACTCACTATACAGTAGTTGGGCGATTAAATCGAGGTCATATTACCGTGTAGAGGCTTTGAACACAACTTATCTGTATTCAACAATGGCACATTTAAGATGCCTTGACGCACGGAATACAAAGGAAACGGTCATCGGCACGAGAGAACCTTAGATAGCTTGTAGACGTTGTTCTGATGTTTAGATGATGGGAAGTTTTCAAACGCAAAAAAATTGTGGGTATATGTGAAAGTGTTGATGTGTGTAAGTGTTGATGTGTGTAAGTGTTGATGTGTGTAAGTGTTGATGTGTGTAAGTGTTGATGTGTGAAAGTGTTGATGTGTGTAAGTGTGCTATGTCTGTCTACGTGTATATCAGTTTATGCTTTAGTGTGTGCTAGTGTGGAATTCTTTACATGTCTGTGCATAAATACATTAACGATACTGTGTGTGCGCGTGCGCCAATGCTGGAAATACTGCCACCTCTCCCGCACTAGATGTAGCCCTCCACACGTGCAACATCTGTGGACAGCCCTGTCGGTACCGTATCGGCCTTTCGAGTCACATCAGAGCTAGGGTTTCCTTCCCGGGATCTCGGACGTAAGTGGTTATGTTTTTTTCCCGGGAATTTGGTTCAAATCCCGGGATTCTTATTGTTATACCCTTATCTCTGATTTGCACTGTGTAAAATACAAAAACGCATGAGAGAGAGAGAGGGGGGGCTAGAGCGAGTCTGACAGAAGTGACACGTACCGTTCCTGTACACTTCTGGCCTTCATAAAGTCTTGCTTGAATACTGGCCTTAGTCGTGTTTATCTCCGTGCTGAGTGCAGAGGGGTGTTGACTGTAGAGTAATCTGTCTGTATATGATGCCAAAATGCAAGCCATGATATTATAATGGTGTATCTTGGCTTGCATGCGACTCCCAAATGGCATTAAATATATAATTTTCATTTTTTATAATAGCTAACTTTGAATGCCATTCCAAATGTCTGAGAGTTTCTTTTATGGCTAACAGAATGAGATTAATTAAAATTTTGCTTGTTTAATCATTATGTACCTATTTTTACATCAGTATGCAAGTTAATAAAGACAACTTTGCTTCAGTGTAATATAATTTATCAAATAAATTGCCTATCAAATAATCTACAGATACTACACTAATGAAGTATAGGGTTAGCATATAGTATTAGTTAGTACAAATATCACCTGATGCGGGAAATCCCGGGATCCCGGGAAATATCCTGGTTTGTCCCAGAATCCCGGGATGCTAAGAAACCCCCAAAACAGGAAATCCTAATCAGAGCTCACCAACGAAGGTGACACCCTTAATAACTCATGTCATTGTATCATAGAGGGTGATCGTCATACTCGATTACGAGTGACAGCAAAGTAGTAGTAGTAGTAGTGTGTGTGTTTATGTGCGCGTGTGTGCTCATGAATACACTAGGAGGGGGGGTAAACCGAACTTGACACAAAAATAATGTTTTGTCACTTTATATAAACACAACTCAACCACAATTCAGGAGACAAGTAACGTAATCCAAAACCACACAAACAAGCCACTGTTATGTCTGCCTCTCATCCTTCCACCAATTGTGTTGATAACTCGAAACAATTTTGCACAAGAGAAGTTCTGTGTTCTACAGGCACCACACACGTACTTAATCTACTATGTACAGTAGAGCTTACTTCTATACCATAATGTACTCAACTAATATATATAGTTTGGGGTGTACTAAAAGCCCAATACTGTGATGGGGTGGGTGTAATTAATGGCGAGTCACGGTTAATGAAGTGAAAAATAATATGCACATAGCAGGTGTTGGGGTAACTAAGGGAAAACAACAACACCATGTGATGGGAGAAACAGACTAAATGTAAACAGCAGATAATGGGGTAAGGAGACAAGTATAACTCAACAGGTTATGGGATATTCAGACAAAATGTAAACACTGGAGGGTGGGTGGGGGGAGGGGGCAAGGACAGCGAACACAACAGGCAATGAGATATACAATTAATGGTATTTAGCAGGCAAAATATAAACAATTAGTAACGTTTGAAATAAATGTAAACAAGAAGCAATGAGGTAAGTAGTATGCAAAAACAGCGACAACATAATTATATCCACAGCAAATATGGCTGGAGGTCCCACAGGGGTCAACGGTACTTCATCAGATACAAACCCCCACAACACTGGTACAGCAGCTAGTAATGTATATACGTACTGCAGTAATCTTAAAACGCTTCCAGTCGTATTTTGGGGGGTGAACTTATTACTAGGCAGTTAACATTTACAAAAAAATATATGATTATCAATTCCAATACAAGTACTAAGTATAAAGATCGAGCGCCAGATCCTTGTAGCGATTCCCTGTTGACCCAACATCAGCCGTCCTGTTTAGCGAACGAAGGAAGTTTTTCTTTTTCCAGTTTGACTAATACAACCAATTTTCACTTCTTGATCACCTTGTTTTATGATTAATTAGTGTTTTAAAAATGGATTATATAACTTGAAATATGTGATACAACATATCGAATTAAATGCTTATGAAAGAACCAACAGGTAACATCAATATTTCCGTTACAATCGAAGTGCTACTGAGAAATAATAAAATTTTGCAATTACCAACCTGGCGAAGATAATGAAGAGGATGAGGAAGACTATCTGGAGAAGAAAGGCCAGGTAGCCATGTATGTGTGAAAGTTTGAACATAGCGGCGTGTGTCAGGAGCCCCCTAGAGTGAGTCCTTATTCTCCACTGCTCCAAACTCAAATGTAGTGGCGTGGCGACCCCGAGTCCTCAAGCTCCCTTTGCAACCCGATCTACGTCAACAGGGTAGGATAGTGCATCCATAACTTTTCGGTCGTTTTTTTTTCTTCTGTGTTACGATCAAGGTCTACGGAGGTTCCAAGCACTGCGAACGAACAATCGTGTAAGAAAAAAGGTAGGGTAGGCAACTCCCCCTCTACAGCCAATGGGAGGCTGTATTTCTCCTCATGGCGCTACTCCACCAGGACGATTCTCTTCTCTTATTGGTTGCGTCCTAAGCTGGGGTCACTCCTGCCGCTGTGGCCAATCAGATTGCAACGCTGGGAAAGTTCCTTGTCGCATCTCCTCCAGCTCTGCAAACTTCGAAGAACAAATTTCCTTTTGCAGCAATACATTCAAAATGATTGTATTGCCAGCAAATTTATTAGAAATATATATCATAATAAAGGAAGCTGTCACTTGTGAACAAGCGGACGTATTATAAATACTTAGATGGTACTTTGATAACTTGGTCATTACCATAATCTTGGGAGCTGGTTGCTGACTAGTCGAGAATGCCGGTCACGAGCAGGCTTTACACACCTGACACATAAAGACAAACTTGGCACTACACACACCTCCAGGATCTTCACAGTAGTCGTAAATACATCAAGAAGAGGGTGTAGTGGATCGCCTGACACAAGGCTGTCACACTCCTCAGGTGTACGCGATATAGTGTAACTAGGAGAAACGCTTCAACCCCTTCATACATCTTAAGTAACGAATGAAACTTTTCACGTCGTTTACAAAAGTTGTCTGTTGCAGGGACTAATTAGAATCGGTGAACGATGCTAAATAACCTGGGCAGCTGAAGCACCTAATACATAATTAACTGCTCATATCTCCCCCACCCCAAAGTTGCTTGAAAAATTTTATGAACAGTTTCTGATAAAAAAGATTCCATTGGTAAATCAGACGTACCCAGTCAGACACCCGTGCAGCCATTAATTAGTTGCAATAATCACAACAGAAAAATCAAGAAAAAAAAAAGATACTTTTTAATCTGATAAACGTTGCTGATGCAGTTCATTTCAGTAATTGTTTATAAAATACAAAGAAGCACAGTGATCAGTAACTCATCTTCCCGTCTGTCAGTTATCCAGACTAAAGCCTCACCCAATGTTTGATAAGACCATAAGGATGATATTACTTTAATAGCTCACACGTTAACTAGTGATAGTTTACCGGTAATCCAGCGGTCAAATAAGTCTCGATAATCATTGTTTAAGATCACGTGAAGATTAGGAACCCCGGCTTATTTCACCTGATGATTACAAACACCCTAATTCTAAATGGGGGGGGGGGGTTAGGTTAGGTTAGGTTTGCATTGGTGTGTCTAATCACTAAGTAAAATAAGCTGGGGTTCCTAATCTTCATGAGCGTTATTGTTAATTGCAATAAAATTTTATTTCTTACTGGTAGTTTCACCTCTAAGAACTGATCAACCTCATATTCATAAACAAAGTAAATTCATTCGGGCAGGTTAATCTGTATGTAAATAGTCTTATTGAACGTAATGGAGAACTTCGTTATATAGTCACTGAAACACAGAGATTCAATAATTCATTAGTGTACGAATTATATGTAATAAACCTAAAAGAGAAAACTTAACAAATGGAAAGCTGAACAATATAACTTTAATTTAGGAGAGAGATGGCAATAGTTCATGACATCTAGTTGCAATGATAAACAAAGGAATGACTGGCAAATATATATATAATTATGTTACTGTATTGATAACTAAGCCACCGTCACTATGGTATTGACATGTGGATAATAATCTCGCTGGGTGGTTGTTGACACGACACAAGGAGAACTGGTTAGTGAAAGTGAACTCGCTATACTTAAACCTGACTGGAAATATAATCAAAAGAACAGAAAGCATGTTTTTCAAATGCATATTCATAATAATCATATAATAAACTCAGTACCGTCCCATTTTCTGTAACAAGATGTTCTTTAGGAGTTATTTTTCATCTATGGTTATTGTTGTAGTCAGAATCCTTGTCCTTTTCCGTTACAATGGTTGGGTAGGTTAGGTTAGCTTAGGTTAAGCCTGACGACCCGTATGGATTAAGTACTGTACAAGGAAGCATCCCTGATACACTATGGTGGGTGTTTATACACATACCAGCGTTTGATCATATGGTCTTATACTGTCTCCCTGGTGATAATTAAAAGCTGTTGACGAGGACAGTAGGCTACATTTTTTTTTTCATTCCTATATCAACTCGGATAAAAACGCTGTGAAATTATTCTTTAAGATAACAATGGTGACCCAAGATGCAACTCGTAGCTCCTTTGGAGAAAAAAAATGAAGTCGAAAACAAAAGCGAACATCAGCTGCCCCCATTACCTTTAGGCTTATCAAGTGGCAGACCGCATACAGCCAACGACTTCACCGAACACCTCGATACTGACGACAATTATAAATATACCTTTGAGGGAATATTTTGAATATGGTAAAGAGTAATGGTAGTCTACCATGGCTGGGAGAGAGGGAGGGGGGAGGAAGGGATGACGGAAAGAAGAGAAGGGGTGTTAGGGAGCCAGGGAAAGAAAGAAGGGAAGACGGGGGAAGAAATGCGAGAAGGAAAGGGCCTTAATGAGAGAGGGAAGTACAGGTGGCTGGTGGAGTGCGTATAGTGTGAGTAGCATACGCTTAACCGTAACATCCTTCATCAACACAACCCGAGAATAACAATAAGGGTCACTAAGCCAATAAGCCTAGCTGGTCACCTACCTCGTCGTGTTCTAGGTGTATAAAGGAACACATTCTTACCTTAAAATTCACTTATTATCTCTATCTTTATGTTATATCTTTACATTCAAGAGCTTAATTATTACTCAATGAGGGGGGCCTCCACAAAGAGGCTGCCCATGGGCCTCCACAGGTCTAAATCCGGCACTG